AATTATTTGGTTATGTGCTGTTTAAATCAGTATACAGCATTCTGTAGGTCTCTTTCTCTATTTACAGGCATTAGTATGGTCAGCAGGGTGTGGGTGTGAGGTGTGGTTGTGGGTGTGCGGGTGTGGGGTGTGAGTATGGTTGTGGGTGTGCGGGTGTGGGTGTGGGTATAGGTGCGGGTGTGGGTGTGGGTATAGGTGTGGGTGTGGGTGTGGGTATGGATGTGGGTGTGGGTGTTGGTATTCTTTGATTACAAGCCCACATCCACATTCACACCCATACCCACCCACACCCACACCCACACACCCACACCCACCCAAATCCACACCCACATCCACACCCACATCCACACCCACCCATACCGTTGAAAAGGAAATCCAATGATTATATCAACACCATTGATGTATTTCTCGAATAATTCAATGAGGAGTTCATTGAGAAGAGATTCAAGTTTTGAAAGTGATATTTCGAAGAAATAAAATTTATGTTGTAATAAGAAACTCAATAAGCAAAAAAATATGACTCGTTCTTCGTCTATTTCTATTATTTATTTGCGTTGATAAGTTGAAACGGTTGATTCAAAGTAACAAGGCATGATGTTGTTTCGTATTGCACAAGATTAGAAGATACAGAGAATGGCAAAATGCATTTTTTCCTACATTCAAGCGTCATATAAAGTGTTTCTCTATGACTATTTTTTTTCTCTTTCACAGTACACGATTAGTCACACGAAATATTCTATTACTTGTCTTTATTTCATGAGATAAAAGCGTTTGAGCAGAAAGTTTTTTATCTATTTCAATCCTTTGAGTCTCAAATTATTTCTTGCTGGAATGAATTCAAGCAAATCATGGAACCGACTTATTCTAGACGTAGGGTTTATGATATGAAGAACTCCGATGACTACACTCGTGGTTTATTGCATTTAGCTTTATTGAATTCTGTTATATGCAAATGGATATTTCGAGTGTTGTGTTCATTGACTATAAAACTTGTGCAAGTTTTTCATCAAATAATAAAAAACAGTTCTTTTTTCATTTTACGTAAAGAGATAGCACTACGAAAATTGCATTTTACGCTGCTGAAGTTTTATTTCCTAATGTGTGTTGAGTTTCATTTTGCTTACTGGCAGAAATAGAAACAGGTCTGCCTCTTCTTCTCCGTGAACTTTGATTACCAATTAGTGATATTGGGAAAGAAGAGAGAAATTCTACATAAGTCATATTTCTCTCACTCAAATTATTTTAACAAATGAATGCATTTGAAAGACTTGCTTGAAGAAAAGAGACAAATATACGTATCGAGTTTCGCTTAGATTTTCTATCGATTGAATAATAGAAAATTCGTTGATCGAACAAACTCACACCACGCATAAATCTATTGCATTCCGATAACATTTTAGAACACATAATGAATTCTTTTGATTTATCTTTTTCTCTTCTGGCCACCGTTTCCATTTCTCTTGGATCATAAAAATTGCTCACAACCAACGTCGGCTTTTTATCTTGCCACTTGCCACTGATATTTGATTTATCATCATAATCATCATAAGTTTTCTACTCTTAAGCAGGCCCTTAGGATAACAATTATAACTTATATAAAGAATGATCCAAAAGTCTTGGTACTTGATAGAAAAGTTTCTCTTTCTCTCTTATTACAAATTAAAAAAAATGTTCACAGCCTGGTTTATAATATCTCCCAACTAGGTGAATATTATCCTAAATTTTCATAACCATCGTCCAAGTTATAACGAAGTTCCATAACCTAAAGCTAAGAGAATTTTTGTTCGCACCACATAATAAAGTAAAGAGTGCCCCATGATGAATTTCCGGGTTAGTGTCTTATTTTCGGCACGGCCAGCCATCGGTCTTTTTCCTTGGGGAGGGTTTAAAATAAGAAAAAATAAAGAAAATTGTCTCTAAAATCGAAAGTGCACCATCGACAGACTACGAAACATGTTGCAAGCTCTAAGATACTCTGTTTATGAATGATATAAACCCTACTTTCCGTTCGCAAAGTCTCTAAAAACAGATGTAATATCTAATTTCAGAAAGAAATTTTGGTTTTGAATCATGTTAAATTTCATTTTTGTCTGAAATATTGTCAAAAATTTTGATCTGATTTCGTTCCGAGATTGAAACGAACACACTTGGGTAGTACAACTATTTTAGTACTACTTGCGAATTAGAGAAAAAACATGGGTTTTTAACATGCTACTTTGAAACTTTAAGATCTCGAGCCTTCACCATTAAAACATCAAAAAATGATGAAATTCCGTAACGCGCAGCGTTTTGAGTCCTTTTATTTGATAAAGCTATGGGTGTTCAGAAATAAACCGATATTCGAAAAGCTTGTGGAGAACTGAACAACTTGTAGATAGTGCACTTGTTTGTATGCTACTTCGTTTCACAGAAAAATATTCAAGTCTGAGGTCACCCTCAAAAAAATGTCCAAATTTTGAAATTCCGTAACGGGCAGTATCTTTATCATAGCTCAGCTCTGGCTAGATAAAAACCAATGAAATTGTTTTTGGTAATAGATCTAAATGATCTCTATCTGTGGTAAAAATTTCAGAGACTTTACTCTTGCCGTTGATAAGTTACAGGTGTATCAAGATGGAAAAATGAAATTCCGTACTGCTTGGCCGTGCTATTTTGTACTTTCTAATGTGTTATTAAAAAAAATAGAATAGACCATAAGATGCAGCGTGGAAAGCTCTACAATCTATAAAGTAAAGGTCATTTTAATAGTGTGATTTTTCTTTTCAAAAAAAGCAAAATTCGACAATTTTTGACGCTACGAAGGAAAAAAATCTTCATACGCCAAAAAATAGCTTTCTTCGTATTGTCGAAAAGTGGTTGCATCGAATTTTGCTTTTTTTGAAAAGAAAAATCACACTATTGAAATGACCTTTACTTTGTAGATTGTAGAGCTTTCCACACTGCATCTTATGGTCTATTCGTTTTTTTTAATGACATATTAGAAAGTACAAAATAAGATACAAACCCAGTAATGCATCATGGGACACTCGTTACTCTATCACGTCGTGTGAGAAAAATATCTTCTCTCAGTTCGAAGCTATGTTTCTTCGTTATAGCTTGGACTGTAGTTATGAAATTTAGGATAATATTCACCTAGTTGAGAGATATTATAAACCAGGCTTTGAACATTTTTTTTTATTTGTAATAAGAGAGAAAGAGAAACTTTTCTATCAAGTACCAAGACTTTTGGATCATTCTTTCGATCTTAATAATACAAATGAGGTTTTTTTTCAGGATATATGGAATCAGATTTTATTTCATATCCAAAAAATTAAAATAACGGTCTAGATTAAAATATGTTAGTAGAACAAACAGAAGATACTGCTATTAATAACGTGCAAATTGAACTTGTTCACCACTTGTTGTTGTGATGATTAACAGTTGTACACTTTTAACGTCTATTTCTTGTATATTGGAGATTAAATTAAAAACTATAGTTTCTTTTTTCATAACATCTGGTGGGCCAGCCATCAATGTTGATCGACAATTACTAGTATTCCATTTACGAGTAGAGTAACTGAAAGTTAGATCACAATGAATACTATTAATTACAGTTGTATAAAAATGATAAATTGAACTTTCAGCATCTTTACTGATTTTAAACATAATACCATTACATTCAGGATGTTGGGGATAATCAATAATTTTTCATTCACCATTGGCACTTATATATAATGATAAAATACCATTTTTTTTTATAAAACACACTAATAACATTCGAAAAATAAGCGAAAAAACAATCATTCTTTGCTGTTTCATAGTGTAGTCTGTAAAGAAGAAATAATGATGAAGTTATTTATATAAAACGGAAGAATGAGAAGACCAAAAAACCAAATCATATTATGTTACTTCATTTTTTTTGCTTTCGATCAATCCTTGTATTCATGCGTCATTTTCTATTACTTTCGTCATACTTACTAATATATCAAGTATTTGCAAAGTAATCAAATGGAAAAACTTCGTAAGTATCAATAAACCAAGTAATTTCAGTGAAAGATGGTGCCATTTGACATGACACAAATAAACGTATTACAGATAGAGATTTTCTAGAATTTTGATTGTGTTGAATATCACAGTATTGTTCCTTGAACAGATGCTTCTTCTGATAAAAAGACATATACTGTACTTCTTTCAAATTAACATTAACAGTAAAAAATATATATGATTTTATAGATCCAATCACTATGTGAATAGTAATAGATAATAATTATATTTTATTTAATATATGAACAAATCCAGAACCGATTGGATTAACATACATTAGTTGAATAAATATTAAAAAAAGATTTTTTAATGTCTTTTATAATATAGTTTTAGTTACAAATATTCGTTTTATTATTGTAAACGAGATAATTGAACTTGTTCACCATTACTTGTTGTGATAATTAATTGCTGTTCCTTCTGAATTTGAATACGTTGAATAGTGAAGAGTAAGTTCGAAATTATATCTTCTTTTTTCATATCTTCTGGTAAACCACTCATCAAAGCTGATGGACAACCATAAGATTTCCATTTATTAGTAGAATGATCAAATTGTATAGCACAGCGTAACAAATTAATTATATGTGTATTGTTATGGTAAAGATTTTCATTTTGTTCATCACGACTGATTCTAATTTGAATACCATTACATTGAGGCTATTGACGATAATTAACAATTGTCCACTGACCATCAACATTGACAGCTGATGATGATAAAACAGTGTTTACTGTGATAAAACATTATATCAATAACATTGAATAAATAAGTGAAAAATCGGCCATTTTCGACTATTTCATAATCTGTTTACGGAAAGGAACTAACAACGCAGATTTTATATATGTGTCGATGACAGAATGAAGACGGAAAAAAACAAATTCTGCAATGTCGTTTGCATTTGTTTACGTTTCGACCAATCCATATATTCATATGTCACTTATTGACGGATTAATCATTCCTACTAGCACATCAAATGTATTGAAAGTAATTACTCGATCAGACGAAAAAGCTTAACTAGTAATAAACAAAATAATATCTGTATGTATATTTCACTGAAAAGAATAAATAATTATGAATATTTTTATTTTTAAAAAATCTAATGCATATTATAAATATTTATCAAGGAGAGTAAACCTTAGCCAATGAAAATGACTCCCCTCTCCAAAGCCGTTTTTCTACTTCCCATTTAGTCGCTGGAGATGTCAGAAGTTAGTTGCTGTTCTTTTGAAACCATTTTCTTCTGATCTTGAGGGTGTGGGTGTG